AAAGCTTCACTGCATATGCATACTTTGGAACGACTTCCACGGCCACGCAAAGGTACTTTTTTCTCGACCTTCCACCTCCATCACCTCACTTCCCCCATCTAAATCTAGATTACTCCTTTTTCTCTCCCATTATCTGCTATCCCAATTCCCCCTAAACATCTGATTCATCTATAGCATAGCCCCGGAAAAAAAGAAAAAAAGAAAAGAAAAAGACAGTATCCATTTTTGGGTAAATAGGAGCTACTCTCTTCCACATCCCTCAATCAGCCTCCTCAAACCCATACTCGTCTCTCTTCACCTTGTGCCTTACCACGTCCTTAGGCATTTTCAGACCCCACTCTCCACCCCTTTAATTGCCAGACAAAGCCATGTAGCCAGACCTCACTCTCCATCACTTCTCCATTGGTGGACAAAACCTAGTAGCTGCCACAGCTGATTCTTTCTAGAATGCAGCCACCTTTGGTACCGTATCGTGGAAGCACCCTCTTTTTTATTCCATGAAAATACCGCTCTCCTTTGATCTCTCTTCTCAAAAGCAAGGCAATTCTACTCTTCGGGTCTGAGCAGCACTCCAAGACTAATTCAGTGGAGACTTTTAAGGTTCAACAGCCCCAACTCTTACCCCGCATGGTACACCCCATATTTCTGCAATGCGGTATAAAGGCTACACCAGCATGGTAAACCTCACAGTTGAGTAGTATGAAGTAAAGAAGTCACAAGAAGATTTCTGGTGTTCATGAGCTAGGGATGAAGACAGCAAAGGATTTCTGGATCTCTGCTTTTTAGAATCTTTATGATATTAGCATGTTATTGCTTCTCTCTCTATTTCCTCCCTATCTCATTTGTATCTCCCTATCCTCCCTCTACCTCCACTCCCACGTTTTCTACTACTTTGCTCTCGCTTTTTTGGGTTGTATATGGAGCACCCGACCTATGGGCTGCCTTTTTTGATATGATCTTCCTTTCATATCCCCAGTTCATCTTCGATCCCTTGGTATTTTCAGTTAACTCTAGATAATCCTTTGCTAGTAAAGAGCCATGCCCCTAGGTACCTGGGTGGCCGGCACATAAAAGAGAAGGGACGTTTGGGGAAGGGAGGTGTGGCTCATAACTGCAAGGGTTCTTGGTCTCTTCAATATCCCCACTACCACTTTCATCTTGCAGATTGCCTCAAGCATGAGATGCAATGCGCCACTCACGGTGTTGAGAAAATGTGCGGCATCTATGGTCACGCAAACTACCAGTTCTTGATGCCACATGTCTCCTAATTACATGACCCTTTTTCTTCACGAGTTTTAATAACTTTTTCCATTCTTCTAGTTATATGAAGTCCTACTCCTTTTTGTCATAACTCATTATAAGGAAAATGACCTAATAACCCATTACACTAGATAATGAACTTGAAGCTCTCCATCAGCGTAGTCATGGTAAGGGGCTTCTAATTAAAACAGACACAAACTTACAAAATAAATTCCCAAGCTCTCACTATATCCATCATTATAGCCTCTTCTTTGCCTACAATGTTCCTAAAGGGACACAAACCATGGTTTAATCCATCTCCTGATCTACACACGTCACTGACACTCCAAGGAAATTTATTGTAGTCAACTTCAAAATTCCACATCAAACCAGAAGCATTCACCATCGTCATTTCGATGCTTACCTTGGTGTGGTTTCCAAAGGGGCCCCATGTGGGTCTGAAGCAACCACCAGCCTTGCTTATATTTATTTTATTGTTTACCTTGATGTAGTCTTTCCCATGTGGGAATATATAATTCCTTTCCTCATACACTAAATAGAACCTCTCTATCTTCTCAAAACTTTCAATAGTACTTCTTTGTCTCTACCCCATCGGTGCTATATCATAACCTCTTAATTCAATCAAGCTAATGATGTATATTTACTCTTATGATGATGGTGAATGTAATGCACTAGAGGGGGGGGGATGTTGATGATATGATGACAACAACAATGATAGCATCCAATCCTGCTAGACAATTCAAGAGGGAGGATTGTTCTCCAATAAACCCAATTTTGGGTTTTGCGACCATTTATGAACACCAACTTACACCAAAATCCTCTTGGATCTTATAGGCCTAACCTGCCTAATGCACCAAAATGGAGGCCACCTTCAAACATATTCAATTGACTATCCTCATCAAATCGCCTCCAATGCCAACAATTACAAAAGAAACCCTCCAATGTACTAAAACCAGTCAGCTTTTGCACTACATAGGTATACTCCATCTGTATTTTGCGGAGAAAGGAAACACGAAGGAAAAAGGTTTGAACACTACCGTTAAGCACAAATTCAGACACATTTTAGCTTGTTATTCCACCACAAATAGAGAAAATTAAGGAATGGTCAGTTGCCAACCACAGCTCCTCACCAATTCATAAGCTCTAACAGTCCACAGAATGTCAAAGCCTTTCCATCACAGAGAAAAGTTGAATGGTTATACCTTTCCCCACCAGAACCATCTTAAGTCTCTTATGCCAGTATATGCCAACTTCAAAACTTTGTTTCAAAAGGAGCACCTTTGCTACCAAAATAATCTCATGACCCTTCATATCTCAACAACCACTGCAAGCTCCAAGATGTTGCCAATGGAGGTTCAAGATTCCAATGGCATCAGATTCAAATATAAGAAAGCATCTCCTTAGAAAGAAAAGCATTCACAAATTCCAAGGACCTAGAAAATCATAACAAATTCTAGGTTACAACTGGGAACGACCTGAAGCAAACTCAGCTCTTACACAATATGCTTATGGTTCCCTTCAAAAAATCTCTTCAAGATACAATTAAACTTATTAACATCAAGCCACAACAATAATATATAAAAGAAAAAACATGATAAGAGATAGTCTTTATATCAATTAGTCTCATTTCACATGCTTGAACACAAAATGTTGATGCCACATGATTCAGAGAAAGGACATTGTAAAACACTGAAGGACCCAGGTTGTCTCTCTGGTCTCCAAGGGCCAAAGGCTCAATATAGGCTGTACAGCTTTACATGAAAGCACGGCAGAAAAATATTTTCAATATTACAATAACACAAAGCAATCATTTACTTAAGTTATTAATGAAGTTTGCTTCTTGGAAAGATATCTTGCAACCCTTCGAAATTCTTTTCTGGAAAGATATCCACATATGATTCCTGAAATGTGTCACTTGCTAAGAGGCTTCACACTCAAGCACAACAGCTTATTAGAACTAGAACGCTCTCAAAAGCAAACAAAGGAAGGTTTACTTCAAATTTGAAAAGAAATCACCAAAAGAAACATTAAAGAACTAACATCAATTTTCCAGTGATTAGACATCATCCTCAGCAATGATGGGGCACACTTAGTGTGTTTTGCTTTTCTCATTTACTAGGGAAATGTGCATTTAGCTTCTCATAACAAGCCAATATGGAGTTCAATACCTCAGCATCTTTCTATTGTGTCCAAACAAAGAATGTATGCACATCAATCAAAAAATATAAGCATATGCCACAACATAACGTCTTGAGTTTCATTCCTACCAAAGCCCAATTTAACAAAAAGTATGCATGTGTGTTCATGCATACAAGCATACAACACAATCTCCCAATACTAATTGTGAGGAATGCACACAATTTCTACCACACCAAACAACAAGAAAGCGTACTTTTAAAGCATAAACCCACTGCTTTCTCTGTAGGAAAGGACAAACTCACTATGCAAACTCCACTAGCTGGTTATAGCAGCCTTACAAACGACAATGGAGTCCAAAACCAATGCAGATCTCATATACAAACCACTAACATTAAGCTCCTCAAAAGACAAATACAAGTAAAAGGGAAACCTGAATTGGAAGGACACACAATGTTTAAAGTACATACAAGAAAAATGCCAACTAAGAAAAAGAGGAAAACCCAAAATGCCAAAAAAAAATATTGCACACACATTGTGAGTGATATAACAACCCAAATGCAAAGCTATATATTATGCCAAAAATAAAAAAATAAGCGAGAGAGAGAGAGAGAGAGAGAGTGCGTGTTCAATAAGCAGATTGCAATTATGATAGAAAAACCAACATGCATACCCATATATCATTCTCAATACACAACCAAACAAATAAATAAACGGATGCCCAGTAAGCAGGATTCTAGTAACAGAAAATCTAAAATGAAAAACAATGTATTCTTCCTAGTAAACAAATAAAATAAGAAAAGTTAAACGGCCATTGTGATGACTGCTACCAGGAGAAAACCCCATAATGGGGAAACACATGCCATGCTCAATTTACAATATCACAAAAGAAATAAATAAATAAATAAATGACCTGAAAGAAATTAGCTAGTAAGAAGAGATAAACCCAGAATGCAAAAGCACAATCCATGCCCAAAAAACACAAATAACGAAAATTAGAAACAAAAAACAAAAGTCCAATACATGGCAAAGCCTCACCTGATCAAGTACAGCTTCAGTGATCAGATCAGAAGCTACCTCTCGAGACTCACTCATCACAGCCAACTCCTCTGAAACCCACTTTCGATTCATCGGAACCGACAACAAACCTGCATATCTCTGCAGATCCCTAACCTCTTTATGGATCACCTTGGCAAGCTTCTTTCTCGCCATTGCAAAAAGCACATGATCCATATTTTCATCATTCATATACACCTCGAATGTTATCTCATCTTTACATGGAACCACAAAATTGTAAATCCTCGATAACAGATCATGCCGACTCTGAAGCTCCATAGTAGCAAGAAGGCCTTGACAATACCTTCGACCACTTGCATAAAATTTAAAGATGTTTTGGCCTTCTTTCAATAAAAGAGGTGTGTCTTTTCCATCACCAGTGCCCAACAAACTGAAATTTTTATCAAAAATCGTATCTTTGGTAGCAAAACAAGAAGCCCAAGCCAACGCGATGTTCTCATTTTCACGTTTACCAGTGAAATAATTTATGATGAAAGAGATTAAGAAGCTCACACATATGATTTCAACATGAAAGGACCGAGAAGGCAAAGTTTTGGGAGATGGAGATTGTTGGGTTATTTCAGGCGGAGAAGAGGAATTTTCAGTTGGATTTTCGGTTCTCGGGGAGGGATCAATGGGTAAGCCTTCAAACTCATCTTCATCCCAGTATTCAAAGGAGGAAGAAGAGGGTTTGGGTTTGGGCTCTGGAGAGCTTGGTTCCGGCGGGCCATGGTGGGTCTCAAAGTTCGATTGAGTAACAGTGGGAGGAGGAATTAGGATTTCGATCGGGCCATCTTCGAATTCTTCCGAGTCAGATTCAAGGGCGTCTTCTTCACCAAAACCTTCAAAGTGGGTTGGGTCTGGAGAAGCGAGGGCAGAACATCGAGCGAGCTCTTGCCCAAGAAGAGATATGGCGGAGACTAGGGCAAGATAGAACCAGAGGGTCTCTCCTCGAGGGACATAGAAACGAAGAAGCCAATAAGATGGGGAGCTGTATTTTGCCATGGCTTCTCTCCGCTAATCGAGCAGATGAACCAAACCAGTTTGCACAATCATTTTTGCAACGAAAGCAGATTATATACAGAGAGAGATAGAGGAGAGGAGAGAGAGGCCGAACTCGGGAGGCGTCAAGAAACTACAACACCGAACTAACGAACGAGGGCAAACAGTGTGCTCTCACAGGTTCCAACTGTACAATTACTCTCTCATTTAAAATTTTTTATCCATTTTCTAATGAATGGATTCTTCAAGGAGTCATTCAATTTCTTATCTTTATTTTATTTTTTGCAAAATGATATTTTTATATTAATATAGCAGTTTGTATAGACAATCAAAATAAAGTGCACCTTCAAATAGGGTCAATAAATATAGTTTTAATACCTGAAATGTTTGTGATAGCCTTAAAATATATTTTCATCTTTAATTATAAAATTTAAAGCTTAAAAAATAGTATAAATCGAGCTGAACTATAAAAACTTGAAAATCTTGAAAATTAACGATCTAAAAATACATTACAAGATACGCTATTTTCAAAACTTGAAATTCATTTTTTTTCTCATATCCATATATCTTGATGTCGAGATAATCAATTTGCTGATATTTGAACATCAAAACAACCTCTTTTAGTGAAATTTTTGAAAGTGGGCTCTAATTTGAATAGTTAGAACCTCGGCGTTATATAAACTTTTTCCAATTTGAAATTCTAAAAATACCATTCAACTAGGGTTTTCCTATAGGGTGTTTCCCTATAGAGCATATACATGCCGAAGTATATGTTATTTTGACCAAGACAATCATAAGTGGGGTTTGTATAAGGTGCCCACCTTTATATTGTATAAATAAGGTGCAACTTTAAATTTTGCTACAAGAGATAGCTCGAGTGTCAAAAACCTTTGGCTTAAAATCTATTTTCAAGTCAAATTACAAATTTAAAATTCTAAAACAATGCAAATAGAGCATATAACACTTGAAAAACGACGTCTAGATAATTTGTTACAATATGTTTTGTTTTTAAAACTTAAAATTCTATCAAGATGATCAATTAAAAGATTTTCTAACTTTGAAGCACTTGTTTCTACTAAATTTTTGAGGCCCAACTTATTTCTAAATATAAGATTGCAACTTTATGTAAAGCAAAGAGAGCCTCCAAACTTGTAAGAGAAAGAGAGGTAGGTAGATACTATATAACTAAAAGAAAAAATTATAAAACCACTTAAGAATAAACTTCCTATGCAACTTACCTCTAACCAAATTTTTTTTCCTACTTTTTACCCCAAAATATCCTCCAATAAAAAGCGATATTTTCTTTTTTTTATGAAAACACCCTTTTTCATATATAAAAACTTAATTTTGGCCGGACATTCATGTGAGCTTATGTACAGTACCAAAAGCTACATAGGCTACCGGACATTGAGAGAGAGAAGGTCTAAGTAAATAGTTCAAAAAGAGAGGGAGAGAGCGCCTTAAAACACCCCAGAGAAAGAATCCAAATTACACAACATACAATGGGAACAGGTGAGAGAACATCTCAATATCCAGGAAAGAAAAATCTGCATTACCAAACGAGAGAGACCAAAAAGAGTCCCAAATTACCACAGCTTTTAGAGAGAGAGATCGTATCTAAATATTGCTTGTTTTATGAGTCCATGTAGAAATGAGTCATCTCTTAAAAACTTATTTTTGAGATAAATTTTTTGACTTAATTTTTAAGGAAATGTAATCTCTAACATGGAGATCATGAATTTGAAAAAATAAATTAATTTTAAAAATTAAAAATAATAATTCTATTAAGAAAACATTTGGACCGTTAGTTTCCATTATTTTTTTATGGACATGGATGTCTTATATCTCGTGGACCTTAAATATAGAAATATTGTCCCCACCGCATGAAACAATTTTCCTAAATCTCAAAATAGTGTTAATGTGAGCGTGCGGCCACTTTTTAGCCTTTCCCAAAATCAATTTATGAACCTACTTGATCCCTCCCATTAAAACTCAAACCTATCCTAGCCAATTTCTCACCAATTCCTAATAAATGTTTCTCCAACATTCAACAACATTGAGAAAAATGGGATGACTTAGGATACAATATTCCAAATCAAACAACCCACCATCTTGCCTCATTACGAGCACACAAAATTTTTTTGCCAAATTTACACAAAAATCTCAATTCATTTGGGAATTTAAAACTAATCCCTTATTTTTTCATAATATACTCATTAATCTCATTTCTCGGGAGCATATATTGTATATTATTTTATTTTTTTTAGATACAGGTTACACCCAAATTTGGGTTGTTTGTATTCTCACTATATGCACTTATGAAAAAAACAAAAGAAAGAGTTCAATAATATTAAATAGCTAAAATAGCCCTAACGATTCAAGGGTATTTTGGTAATCTTATTTATCTCAAGTTAGTTTTTTTCGACTTGAGCATAGAATATCAAATACAAATAATTAATTTTAAATTTTCAAAGAGAAATGATCTTATAAGACCCTCCCTCACCCATGTGTGTAGGACCCCAAAAGATCACCATTAAATTTGGCACGGATCTATAGAAAAATCAAGTCCCACACCCATGTGATAACTTTCCTAGATACCCGTTCCAACTTTAATAGTGGTCCTTTGGGGTCATTTAATGGTGATCATTTTGGGTCCTACACACATGGATGGAGGAGGGTCCTATAGAATCATTTCTCATTTTCAAAATAAAATAAATTTTTTATATAAATTTCCTTTTTTTTGGCCTTAACTAGTCTCTTGCAGGCCAGGTTCCAAAGCCATATATTGAATGAAACACGACATATACACTAGTAAAGAGGCATCAGTTAACTAGAAAGGCTTCCTTTGTGCATATACTTAACAAATAAGAAATTTATATAAGGTTGCCACCTTAAACTATTGAATTAAGGTCCACCTCAAAAGTCCTACGCAAAAGAGTGTTTTAGTATTGGAGAGGATCATCTCAACCTCGAGATGCATGTATATGAAAAAAAAGATAATTCCAAACAAAAAATAATGCATCTTGAAACAAGTTATTTGAATTGTCCATTTCTAAAAATTTCAAGTGTTTATCTATTCAATGTATGTCATTTTTTGTAATTTTAAATTTTATAAATAGGAGTGGAAATAGATTTTCAAGCCATCATAAGATTTTCGACACCAGAATGGTATCTCTAAACAAATTCTAAATATGCGCCGTATTTCTATAGTGTAAGGAGCCAACCTTATACAAACCTCACCCCTTAACAATAATGCAGCAACATGGATCTACATATTTGTTAGATGCTATTTGGTGAAATAATCTCATAAGCACTAATGGTTCCCTATTAGTTAGCATCGTTTTGCATGCAACCCCAGACACGAACCATGCTGAAATATTGGGTGTGAGACCATATAGAACTATGTTCTCACTCTTTTGATTTGGAAAAATCATTCACATAGTGGATAATTGTAGATACTCAAATTTTGGACATAGTGGATAATTGTAGATACTCAAATTTTGGACAAGATAATAGATATTGAATAATATTTACACTTTAATTGTCTTAGACTATATGTATCCCATTGCATTATCCTTGACATGATATATGGGTAACGAATTATAACATTTTATTATTTGGTTTAAGAAGGGTGAGGACTTTATGCTTTCCCTTAAAGGGGGTGGATTGTGTTAGGTGGCGAACACAAAACTTTGTTAAAAAAAATTTATGAGTCTAGAATGTATGACGGATGCTCTAAAATTTAAATATTTTAAAATTAGCAGGACTAAGATAGAGTATATGAAATCTAAATTTAGTAAATAATAAGAGTAGAGACGATGAAAACGTTAATGTTGCCTACCAATAAATACTGAAAAGAACACACTTTCGATATCTTAGTCAACAATATAGGAATTTGAGAGATTAAGGAAGATGTCGCACGTAGAATTAGAGCTGGGTGGGCAGCGGATATGTGCAACCGAAGTTTTATGTGATTGTTACACACTAATAAAGCTGAATGGAAAGTTCTATAAGACAATTGTGGGATCACCTTTGCTTTATGAGAAGAATATTGGGTGGCTAAGAAACAACATACCAATAGAATAAGTGTAGCTGAGACGAGGATGTTGAGATGGATGAGTAGAAAAACAAGAAGAGATAAAATTCAAAATGAATTCATTCAAAAGAATTTAGGTATGTCACTAATAGGCAATAAGATGAGAGAAAGCATATTTGGTGGGTTAACTATGTGCGGTACCTATCCAATACAATACTTGTTAGGAGGTGCAAATTATTTCAAGTAGAAAGAGAGATGAGTGCCCAGTTATGCTCTTTAGAATTTTCAAGAGAATGGTGTAAGAAAGTGTATTAGAAGAGAAAAAATTGTTTAGGAAAGAGGATCCCTTTTATAGAACTCCAATAGGTTATCTATTTACTATAGAAGTGGTTACATGCACCACCAAATTGTTACAAGTTACATATACGGCCTTAATCATGACAACTACTATTATAAGCCTATATTTCTTCGGCGGTTATCGAGCCTCAAGCCTTCCTCATATGAGCCATGCTCACAAAAAGGTATCAAGCCTCAAGTGTGACCCCTACATGTACTTGGGTGAGGGGCGTCTCATGTAAGTATGCAAAGTGCGTCATCAAACGCCCTTGCGCCCATGCCATCATCCATGCATGTGCGCACGTCATATGCTTCAGATTCTCCATACACGCACCTCCATTCTCACCTTTGTACTAAGAGTATAAAGCATGAGAATGTCTACACTTAAATACCACTCAGTCCACACTCTCCTCCTCAGTGTGGGACTAAAACCCCACAACTTTCTCTCACAACAAAAAATAGCTCAGGAAAACCATACAAAACCACATTATTATTTTGAAATGCACACAAATATTTTTCAAAACCAAAATACTAATGGGCCTGCTGCGCGTTATTCGGGCTAGTCCAACTGGACTTGGTCGTTGTGCATATTTTTTTAAAAAAAAGAACTAAGAAAAAAAGAACTAAGAAAAAAGAAGAAGAAAACGTTTTGACCACGTGCCCAAGAGATAGAGAGAGGCCTTTTTGGTGTGTGGCCAAGGGA